ATTATTTAAGTTTTCAATATAAATTCAGTATAACAATAAATATTCTTTTTAATAAATATTACTCAGTTACAAAAAGATTCTATATTTCTTATAGATAAAGTTCTAACTCCAGTTATTTGTTAAGATTTAAAAAAACGCATTTCCCAAAGATCTTGATCAAATTTTAATGCACGAATTGTATTGGATTGTACATCATTTTCTGTAAGTGCATTAGGGTTTGGGGTTGTATGGAATTGATATTGGGTCCTGGTAACACCATGAATTTTCTTGTGTTTTCAGTGGGGAAACAGCAGTAAATTGACATAAAAACCAAATTGTCCATAAAAATGTATTTTCCTTTAGCCCAGCCAAGGATATCCCCTAGCAGTTGCTTTTTCCCTCGATTTTCTCGCTTTTCTTCATTGCTACTACTGCTCATATTCCCCGTACATCCCGAACATCCCCTCCAGGACGATGCTTATCGATAAAGTTCAATGGCAGCTGCGAGGGGGGAAAGTTACTCAGTTGGCCGGCGGAATTAGTTTCCTGCGGGGCATCCCATGGAACGGTTCCGTCAACAATTTAATCAGTTCATCGCCTCCCGGCCGCAGCAAATCCTTCTGGCCAAAAAATAAAGAAAGGATCTCAGTGCTGGCTTGTGTTTATTTCAACACCCTTTGGGGCTTGTAGTTTATTTCTTTTAGTTTTTTTGTTGTTTTGTTTGGGCGGGTTTACTTGCCGCCTATTGACACAAAAATAAGTCGGCTTTAGTTTTGGTTTTATTGGCCACATTCCGGTGGCAGGAAATTAAAAGCCATCTGGCAATGTTTTCATTTCCTTTCACCCCATCCAGTCACTTCATCATCTGGCCCAGAATCGATATTATGCTAATGCCTGTCTAATTATTGCCCATTATCGAAATGAACTGAACACATTTCCCATCACAATCAACATTCTATAATCGTAGTCTGCCGGCTGGCTTGTGTATTTGATGAGCCCAAGAGCAGAGCCTGTACCCCGAAAATAAACTAACTGAAATTCGACGCCCAATGGAGTGGGAAAATTATAATTTGTAAGTGGTTTTAGGGTGCTTATTCGCAGGATAAATATACTTGGAAACTTTCGGTTTATTAAATTACCAAAAGAGAGAGAGTAAAGTCCGAAATATTTCAGCTTTATAAAGTATTAATTTTTGTATTTAAATATTTAAGTTGACTTGATGTTCTTGTCTTTTTATGCTAAATATATTTTCTATACAAAATATGTCATGGTGAAATAGATGGCAGTGATTGATCTTTTTTAATATTTCCCTAATTATTAGCTAGACAAAAAACCAAAAAGGCAAATCATTTCACACGGGAGTCTATTGAAGATTTTCCCACATTTTCCCTGCATTTCCTGTCCCTCTTCGGGTTTTCTCTCTCTTTTTTTCGTACCAACTCCCACGTTGACGTGTGGGGACTTTGAATGGATTTTTAATAACATTGTCAGGGTGACACAGAAATGGCGTCAACATGTGCGCAGCTACCGACCCTGACTGTGATTATCACTCGACCTCCGGACCCCCATGTCCTGATGTCCTGACCATCGGGGGTCCTGCTACGGCACACACGCACACTAACACAACAGCACATGAAAGTGTTGGACTTTTTTTTTTGTTTGTTTTTGGGTCTCGGTGTTTTTGTTGCACGGCTCCTGCTGTTGCTGCTCTTTTTTGGCCAGTCAACATGCTCATATTGGATATGTTTTGGTAGCCACCGGTCACCGGCCACTTCACACCAACGCCTCATCATCATCATCATCATTGGGTCCATCCTTTTTTGATGAGACGAGCAGCACTGGCCAACTAATTTCAGCCTGACATTTGCCAACGATGGCCATGACGATAATAATAATCCTGATGGTGATGATGATGATAATGATGGCCGTACATTTCATAAGTTTCGATGGCGGTTAATTTACATGGCCAGTCGCAGGATTTATTACCACAAACTAGGCCAGCTGTGGGCAGCAAAAGATATTTATTACAGCCTTTTCGCTTGAAATAAGTTAATATCGCTTGACTTCTTACTCTGTGAACAGAGAAGAGGTCCTCTTTCAATGGCTTCACAGGCAGGCAGACAGTTGCAGAATTATGCCTCGACCTGATTGCAAATATATTTGAACAGAAAATCATAAAAGATATATTAGGCACAGATGGTGCCTTAGAAAGGGAATATATGAAGTTCTAAGCTTTGTATATTATTGTTATTGTTGTTTGTTTTGTTTAAAGATAGAACTGTATTAAATATATCAAAAAACAAAGTCAAAAATAAACTGTAGTGCCTAGCATAAATATAATAACAAGTTAATGAACTTGTTTTGGTAGTAATTAATTAGGAAATGCAATGGTAATAAAATGTAAACTTATCATTTTAAGGGTTTAAAAATCAGCTATTTTGGTTAACACACATAGTATTTAAAAGGAAGAAAGTATAATGCTTTGTATGAAAACCAAATTAGAGAACTTTTGAATCTATAAATTAATTTTCTAAATAATTATATTATGTTTCCAGGCTTCTTTGAACTTTTAACTTGCAAAGTTTTATATTAAACACATGAACAGTATTTATGAACCATTTCTAATATACAATTTATTTAAAAATTAGTATGTTTTCCTAAAAATATTTAAGAAAAAAGATACAAAAGTCATCTCTTGAGTATTATTATCCCATCTGTGGGCAAAAAATAGCGAGTGCAATGAATGCAGGCGAGAAGGATGTTCCAGCAGGCAAACAAAAGCTGGCGAAAACAAATAATCCGTTCGGTGAGCTCCGTGCTCTGTTCTGCTGTCCTCTTTTGGCGTTTTGCTGTTTGCTGCTGACTTGTGTGTGTGTAGATGTGTGTGTGTGTGTGTGTTAGCCAGTGTGTTTGTTTGTTTATTTGTTTGTGTTTTCCTTTCGAGGCACACGGCTCTTATCAGGATGCTTTTTGTCTGCTGCTGTTTCTGTTTGCATGCGATGCTGATGATGATGAGCCTGCAACATGTCGAGTGTGCTGGCAAAGTAATAATAACAAAAGGGCTAAGACCGAGACTACAGAGAGAGAGGGAGAGAGAGCCCGGGCTTAGCAGCAAAACTCATTGACACGTTCCATGGCAACACTTTCGGTTTTGGCCTCCAGTCTACCCGCTGCTTGCTGCCCGCTGCACGCTTTAAGCCATTTACTTAGCCACACTCGGACAGATGTCAATAGCAATCTGGCTGTGTAAATGGATGCTCGACTGGTTGAATGAAATCATGCACGACTGACTTTATGCCTTTGCCGTGCAAAGCCAAGCCTTGTGTTGCCTCACCATGGCAGTCGGATTCATTTCCATTTAAATGTTACATCAACTTCGGTTTCCTCTGCGGGGGCAACAGTGCGTATGACCGGCTCTGAATGTGCATTTAATTGCATTTCAATTTCTCAATTTGCCTCCATTTGGGTATATCCTGCCAAGCGCAGGCTGCTGCTGTCATTGAATTAATATTTTATCGATAAGCCGTTGAAGGACCTCGCCGCAGGCTGTCACTTAATTAGTGAGATGGTGATGGCGACAGGACTAAAAGCCAAACCGCAACTTTTGGCCACACAGTTTCCACGCAGGTCATTTGCCTTTGCCTAATGGTTTTTCCCAGAAAATTTTCCATTTTCCTTTTTCTATTTAAATTTTGCCAAAAACGTATCACACATAAAATTTAATTAAAATATAAATCGAAAACAACATCAGCTGGCCGGGGGAGAACGAAAGAGGCGTGCCATTGATTGGCATAAAGGGGTTTAATAAGCATAAATTATGAGTAGGCTATAATCAATTCTTGTTGTTATTGTTTTGTCTGGCTAACATGAAAATTGGTTGCAGCACGCAAGCCAAAAGTTGTGAAGAAAAAATTAACCAAAGTGAAGCACAGTGTTAAATACCCTTATATATACCTATTATAATTTAATGGATATTTAAATGGGTTAAAAAATATTTGAAGTTACTATGAACAGTAAGTATTTATGACCAGTAAGTAATTATGATCAGAAAGTATCTATGATCAGTAACTAATTAACTTTGACCAGTAAGTAACTATGAGCAGATAGTAACTCTAAACAAAATGTATCTATGACCAGTAAGTAAATATGATCAGTAGGTATCAATGAACATTAAGTAACTATAAGCACTAAGTAACTATGATCAGTAAGTATTTATGTATGATGAGTTACTAACTTTGAACACTTGTAAACAATGACTTGCAACTTTTGTAGCAAAACACATTTCTGAGACTCGGCCGGCAGGAGTCACTTCGTTCCGGGGATGTTAGAACGAGTTGGGAATCATATGCAGACATGTGCGAGATTTGATTTGGAACAATCTTGAATTAATTTAAATGAAACTATGGAGTTATTCTTTTATATAATTTAACTGGTAAATAAGTCGGAGCATGTCGAATCGGCGGACTATATATATACATATATATAGCTGCCATAGGAACGATCGGAAAATTTTAATAAAAATATTATAACTTTTTCCGTTTTTAACAGATTTTCATCAAATTTGATATACAGTCGAATCCCGATAATTCGTACCCCGCTAAATCGAAAATCGCGATAATTCGTAAAAAATTCTGTCCCCTTGAAAAAAACTCGTTAATTCGTAAAAATTCCATACATTTTGGTCCCCTCGTTAATTCGTAGTATTTGGCGCAACGCAAAGAATATTGAACCTCTTAAAAATCGTAATTTTGTTTCGAAACCTCTTATAAATCGTAATGCGATGCGAAATATTTTGTAGTTAAAGCGACGTTAGATTTTGCAGAAAAGATAAAGCTAAATACATATGTAAACATGATGTGAAATGTAAAAACCCCCTTTATTCGACTCTTTCATTTTTGAGCCCCTTTAAATAGAAATCTCGATAAATCGAATTCCCGTCTAATTCGTAAAAAATGTGATCCCCTTGCCATTTCGAATTATCGGGACTCGACTGTAATATAAATGTCATGTTTAAGACTTACCGCAGTAGAGGACACGTCATTGTTTACTTCCTTCCAGTGTTGTGACCAAAAATGCTGATTCCGTCCAAAGGGAGCTTCTTCCTAATCATCCAGATGTATTGCATTGGCCACGTCATATTTTTAGGCCGAAGGCTGATCACTTGCACTATCACTTGAGATGTTAACACTAGGTACCCCTAGGACAGACTGAGGAGCGCGGGCCCTCAGCGCCTCTATTTATAGTCCGCGAGCAGAGCAGAGCAGAGCAGAGCAGAGAAGAGCAGAGCAGAGCAGAGCAGAGCAGAGAAGAGAATGTGAGTGCGTGGGAGAGAAGCTGTTGCCTCTAGAGATTAACATAGAGCGATTAACATAGCGAGAGTGGGGGAGAGGCAGAGAGCAGCAGCGAGCTGATATTTAATTTAACTTTAATCAGCAAGTAACTTTAAGCAGTAAGTAACTCTAAACAGTAAGTATCTATGACCAGTAAGTAACTCTGATCAGTAAGTATGTATGTTCACTTACTAACTTTGAACACTAATAAACAATGACTTGCAACTTTTGTAACACAACACATTTCTGAAACTTGGCCGGCAGCACTCACTTCGTTCCGGGGATGTTAGAACTTGTTGGGAATCATATGCACAGTTGTGCGAGATTTGTTTTAGAACAAATTTAATCTATTTCAATGATCTATGGAGTTATTCTTGTATATAATTTTACTGGTATATAAGTCGGAGCATGACGTATCGGTGGACTATATACAGTCGAATCCCGATAATTCGTACCCCGCTAAATCGAAAATCGCGATAATTCGTAAAAAATTCTGTCCCCTTGAAAAAAAACTCGTTATTTCGTAGTATTTGGCGCAACGCAAAAGAATATTGAACGTCTTATAAATCGTAATTTTCTTTCGAAACCTCTTATAAATCGTAATGCGATGCGAAATATTTTGTAGTTAAAGCGACGTTAGATTTTGCAGACATCAGAACGGAGAAGAAATTTTATAGAATTTACGAACCAGAGCATTAATTCCTCAACTTAAACATTATTTTTCGACTCATGATGTGCCAAATAGTGTGTTTGACAACCTAATAGGTTTAGAAAACGCGATGGAAAAAATAAAAGAAAAAAAACACGAAGCAATCAAAAATTACCAATTATTTTAAAGCATAAATTTTCGTTTTTAATAATTTAATGTTTCTGCTTAATTTTGTTTGTTAATTTTTTGTTTAATTTTCCTTTAATTTGAAAAACGTACAAATGAATGTACATATTTGTTATGTTTGTTTAATTTTAATAAAGCTAAATACATATGTAAAAACCCCGTTTATTCGACTCTTTCATTTTTGAGCCCCTTTAAATAGAAATCTCGATAAATCGAATTCCCGTCTAATTCGTAAAAAAAGTGATCCCCTTGCCATTTCGAATTATCGGGACTCGACTGTATAGCTATTATATATCAATCTTGAATTTGTGTATATTATCTTTTTTGTATTAAATGCAGTCTTAACATATTAAAAAATTATGTTTAAAATAAAATATTTGTTTTTTATTAGTTCATTTCCTTACTATCTTATTATCTTATCCTGACATAAATCCCATTATAAAATATTATAACCTCATATATCTTTTTGTCTCTTTATCTAAATATACTTTCATGAAGGGCAACAAACTTTTGTCTGAGGTCATTTTCGGGCAGGTGCAGCAGCAAACTCATCAGTTGAGGGAGGGGGTGAGTGGCAGATAACAAAAGTCGAATGTTCATTCCAAAGTACCCAGGTGAATTGCAAGTGAAACCCACCTGAGAAAGCTCAGTAATTACAACTCACGCGTCACTCTCTATATAAATTCAACGCGAGGCCTGCAATTAGCTGGCCACATAACTCATCCGCCACGTGGCCGCACCACTTTAGAAATAAAATGCAATTTGCAAAGTGAAATTGCCTGTGCTGGGTTAAATTAATCTCACCCTCATTCTTAACAGCAGCCCGCAGGCAATTTCAAGCTCGACTTGCCAACTCATCAGCCAAGAGCCAGCATCGCTCAGTTGTCAGCCACAATCGCTGGCATTCTAATTAAGCCGCGGCTAATCATTAATTAGACACATCGAATACTCTGCTAGGTAGGTTTTTTTTCTATATATATATAGGTGCGTATCTATGTAAGTATATAGATGTATATAAAAAAACGGCCCATTTAAGTTTGGTAATCACAACAGCTTTCTAATGCCGCTAAAGCCAAAAACAAATGTCGCTTTTAATTATGGTCTTTCTAAGGATTTGATGGAGCTACACAGGAAGAAATAATAGACTTAAATTTTTAGAATTTACTTTAAATAAAAATATATATATATATTAATTTTATACCCATCTTGTTATTTAATATTTATAAAATAAAATCCTCGCTTTCGATTTGAAACCTTTTAATTATAAGACTTCCTTTCCAGACTTGCTAATTTCTTGGCCAGTGTGGCCATAGCTCCTCCTGTTTGGTCGCACATTTAGCACTTCCAGGCACGCCACTGGCCACACCCAAGGATATCCGAGGTTGAAAGTGGTTGTGTTTGTGTGTGTGTGTGTGGTGTAGGGATTGAAATGGTTTTGGGGGGGAAATGGTATTGGGATAAGGTATGGGGCCAGGTGCAGGTCCAAACTGCCGCTGCTAGGTGTGTGCTCAAGGCTAGGGCCAAATGGCTGGCTCGGCTACACTACCTGGCTTGGCTGACGTGCCTCTGATCGACAGGATGTCTGCCTGGTAGGTAGGTGGCAAGGATGGGTGGTCTGCGGTTGGGGCTTATTTATAAAACGACCTTGGCGCAAATCAAATGCAAAACTTTTATGCGGCCAGCCGCACGCGTCCATGTCCGCGTTCGCGTCTGTGTCCGCATTTGCCTGCTCATTAAAGGTCAAAGCCGATTTGGTTTTTGTTGTTGTTCTTATTTTCCCTGTTGTCTCCTTTAGGTGTGTTCAGTCCCGTGTCCTTTGTGAAGGGAATTGCGAGGAATCATACCCAAACACAAAAAAATACGAAAAAAACATGGAACAAAATAAACATACAAATATTTACACAGAGAGGAAAATATATAAACAAAGTGGTCATTAATTAGATTTGTAATGCTAAAAAATAAGTCAGGGGAATTTTGAGGTAGCTAAAGTTGTGTTTTCAAGCTTTTCTAGAATATTTAAAAGATGTTTACCATAGTTTTGTTAATTTTGTTTTTACTTTTCCCTTGATTGATATACCAAAAATTCTTAAGGCAACAAATACTCCCTGTTGACAAATTTCCTTATTGTGCAACATGTCTGTATATTTTTCTTTTCTTTTTTCTTTTCTTTTTTTTTTAAAATTTCTTTTGAATTATTTGCCATCGCACGCTGCTCAATAAACATAATTAGCATTTTGCCACTTTACGTGGCAGAGTCACTAATGAATGACTAGGCCCAAAAGGAAACACCCCAACAGGCACAACAACAAGGCAACAAAGCAAAGTCAGGAGCAGGAGGTAGAGGGTAGGACTTGGGCTCAATTGGACTTATTTCATATGCAAAATGTGGCAAAGAAGTTGATTAAAAATTCAGGAAGAGCTCAACTATTTGACAGGCACGACGCCATCTGTGGGGCAAATAAATAACAAAGTAAACTGTGCAAAGGCCACAAACAACTATAAAAGTACCTACACACGTGCATAGCGGTGTGTGCGTATGTATATATGAATGTATAAACTGTAGACACATCAACACTTTCAGAGCTGTATACAAGTGTCACTCGTGTGTAGCGCACTCAACACCAGCACTTGGCCATTGCCAGGCTCACACACTCCCACAACCTAATACACAAGGAACAAAAGTTTTTTCAAACAAATTTTAAAGTGTATTTTTGTGCTTATAAATTTGGATTTTTAGTAGTTAAAATGTTTATAACATATTAAAATATATTTAATAAATTTTATAAATGTAAATAAGAAATATTTTTCACAGTACATAAACGTATTTAGCAGGCAAAAGATCTACCCTCTCTCATACACACTCGAAGGGCACACTCATTTAGTGTCGCACACATGGCGTATACGTGTTGCCTGAATGTGGTCGTGCCGCAGAGTGTAATTAAATATTTTACAGGCAATCTACATTCTTGAGATAAACTCAGCTTTATATATGTGTGTGTGTGTGCCCACAATGGGAAAATGTTTTTTAAAAATGTAGAAACATGCAAAATGCTAAACAAGTACAAAGTTCAAGAGGGGTCGGGACCGATTTGGAAATGCTCTTAACCAAATGGAAAATGTCACAATGATGTATAAAAAATGTAATCCTAAAGCTAGAAACTGTCCAAGAGGAGTTTAAAAAAAATATATATGAAAGAACTACAAGTGTGTGCAGAAAGTCTAAAGAATATAAAAAGGCTTTAATTCTTAGTTTAAGCTCGTTAAGGAAACACTTTTATCTGAGAAAAATAAAGATAATGCATCATGTTTTTATATAATTCCATTTTAGGGAAAAATACAATATAGCACTCTTCTTCAATTGATTCTCCTGTTATCTATTTATATCTTTGGTACATATTTTAAAAGCTTAAGCTTATGTCATGTTGTTGCTTATATATACAACTTCTGCAACTCTTATATTTTAAGCATTTTTCCAAATACAATACAGAATAAAAAGCTATTTTGATTTTTATCCTTTTATGCTAATTTCCATTCACTTCAAAACCGACCAATTGACTGCGAAAGTTGACGAACTCGTTTGAATGTCGAACCACAAAAAGGACAACATCATAAGATACCAGATTAATGTTTGCAGCTCCTCCAAACAGGCACTCACTCACACACACACACCACACATATGGGAGCACCCAGAAGGATATTGCGCTTAGGCTGCAATATTTTGAGGGCTCGTCCTGGGCCACCACACAAAACACACACACACACACATGCAAATTTGGCTCGTCGAAACATTTTTCGGGGCATAAGTCGTCGTTGTCGTTGTTGTGGAATTTAGATTAGTGCCATTTAACTTTTTAGATTTACAAATGTTGCATGAAAAGATAATCGGCTTGCCCTTGTCCGCCAGCCAGCCAGCCACAG